TAGTAAATTTGCGGATGACACCAAAGTCGGTGGAGTTGTGGATAGTGCGGAAGGATGTTGCAGGTTACAGAGGGACATAGATAAGCTGCAGAGCTGGGCTGAGAGGTGGCAAATGGAGTTTAATGTGGAAAAGTGTGAGGTGATTCACTTTGGAAGGAGTAACAGGAATACAGAGTACTGGGCTAATGGTAAGATTCTTGGTAGTGTGGATGAGCAGAGAGATCTCGGTGTCCATGTGCATAGATCACTGAAAGTTGCCACCCAGGTTGATAGCATTGTTAAGAAGGCGTACGGTGTGTTAGGTTTTATTGGTAGAGAGATTGAGTTTCGGAGCCATGAGGTCATGTTGCAGCTGTACAAAACTCTGGTGCAGCCGCACTTGGAGTATTGCGTACAGTTCTGGTCACCGCATTATAGGAAGGATGTGGAAGCATTGGAAAGGGTGCAGAGGAGATTTACCAGGATGTTGCCTGATATGGAGGGAAGGTCTTATGAGGAAAGGCTGAGGGTCTTGAGGCTGTTTTCGTTAGAGAGAAGAAGGTTAAGAGGTGACTTGATAGAGACATACAAGATGATCAGAGGATTAGACAGGGTGGACAGTGGGAGCCTTTTTCCTCGGATAGTGATGGCTAGCACGAGGGGACATAGCTTTAAATTCTGGGGTGATAGATCTAGGACAGATGTCAGAGGTAGGTTCTTTACTCCGAGAGCAGTAAGGGCGTGGAATGCCCTGCCTGCAAAAGTAGTAGACTCGCCAACTTTAAGGGCATTTAAATGGTCATTGGATAAACATATGGATGATAATGGAATAGTTTAGGTTAGATGGGCTTCAGATTGGTTTCACAGGTCGGCGCAACATTGAGGGCCGAAGGGCCTGTACTGCGCTGAAATGTTCTATGTTCTATGTTCTATAAACCTTTCCTTTTCATGTACTTATCCAAATGTCTTTTATACATTGTATTTGTACCCACATTCACCAATTCCTCAGGCAATTCCTCATTCCACATGCAGACCATCCTTTGTGTACAAAAACAATGTGCCCTAATGTCTTTTTTAAAATCTGTCTCCTCTCACCTTAAAAATGTGCCCCTGAATCTTGAAATTCTCCATCCTCGGGAAAAGACAACTGCCATTAACCCTATCTGTACCCCTCATTATTTTATGAACTCCTGTAAGGTCACCTTTCAACCTTCTACTCTCCAGTAAAAAAAAAGTCCCAGCTATCTAGCCTTTCTTTATAAGTCAAACCCTATACTGTAAGTATACATTGGCTGTAGCACATTTTTAACTCATATTCCTCTGACAGTCTCTGAAACAGTCATTACATTTTGTTTTCATCCATTCATAGGATGTGGCCATCACTAGCTGGGTTAGAATTTATTTCCTGTCCCTAATTGCCCTTGAGAAGCCACCAACCTTTCCAGGACCCATAGCAAGACCATATCTCCTAAGGATATCCCTCATGGACAAGATTTGCTTCTTTTGTGACCTGGCATGCATGCACCCTAATGTCCTGAGAATCTTCAAAGGAAGAAAACTAAACAGTTGACCAAAATTACCAAGACCAAGCTTTGAATTTGTCACTGTAATAGCATATCAAAAATAAAAACACCGACACATGTAGATATGTTTTGCCTTCTGGTGTTCTGACCTACATTTACATCTCAAACGCCATCACTATAAATACATTATCTGATCATTGTCATAATGTTGGTTTTCGGAGCTTACTGTTGTATAAATTGGCTGCTTTGCTTCGATTTTACACATTACAATACGGAAAACTTAGAAGTACTTCATTGCCTTAGGATGATCTAAGGGTTATGAACAATATTACTGTATGTGAATGCACAGCCTGTCTTTATTATTGTTTACAACATTTACCAGGAACTAAAAGCTGTTATATCCACTACTTCCCAAGCCCTGTAAATACCACGTTCACAGGTGAGGTGAGGTGAGGTGAGGTGTGTGGGATGGGGTGGAGGACAAGTTTGAAGCAAATTTGTTAGATTCACTAGATGGCCATCAACAAATGAAAAGTGAAACAGTTTTGGCAGCATAATTAATCCTCTAAGTTCCATATGGAAGTTGTTCAATCAGTTTTGAGAATACAAAATCAGGTAAAATAGAATCAAAGAATTACAGTGCACATAAAGAGACTATTCGTTCCTTCATAGTGGTGCTGGTTCTCTGAATGAACGAATCACCTCAGGTCCCTTGTCCATCATCTTCCTATTGCTCTGCACTTTCTTCTTTTGCAGACAACAATCCAACTCACTCTTGAATGCTTCAGTTGAGTCAATCTCCATCATGTTCTCAAGCAGTGTATCGCAGGTCATAACCATTCATTGAGTGACAATATGTTTCCTCGTATCTCCTTTGTTTTTTTGCTGGAAATTAACTGAAATCTGTGTCCTCTTGTTCCCTAACCTTCCATCAACAGTTTTCTTCCCTTATCTACACTGTCCAGATACCTCACAATTTTGAATATGTCTATCAAATCTTCTCTCAACTTTCTCTTCTCAAGGAAAACAGTCCCAACTTCTTCAATCCATCTACATAACTGAAGTTTCCTTCCAGCTTATCTGATGCTACATTCTTTTCTCAATCACAGTTACAACAGTGGCTTGACAAAAGTGTGAAAATCAAGTAAGAATGGAATATAGAGCTGCATAAATAACAGCTACAATTTCACTTACCTTCAGTTGGAAAGTTGGATTCAGTTTTAGAAATTATCTTGAAAAACAATGACGGTAAATGTATACGTGATCATGAAGCTTTTGGATTGTAAAAAATGACCTAATGCCCTTTAACAAAGATCACCTCACATCCAAGACAAGTCCACATGCCACTCCCATTCTACTTCAATGTGGCTGACCCCAATGCCCTGTGAAAGCACTTCGCAAGCTATTCAGTTGTATCAAACAAACAAGTAAAGAAGAAGGTCTTCCCTTAGGAATGGCAATTAACGTTGAGTATTTAAGTACCATCGGCTGCGTTAATCAATGTGACAGAAACAAAATTTCTGTGCAGCTATTTTTGTTCCATAATTGAATATCAAATCACTAAAACAGCTGCTTTTCCTTCATACTCGCTGGAAGAAATCATGTGTAAGCAACAAACAGTTTGCTAACAGTCATTGTGCCACGAGCAAACAGGAAATATAAACAAGGCGCTTAAATCAATTTCAGCTTTCCCTAATTCCTGATACAGTCTGGTAAAGTACAGGAGTATTGAAGTGTACAGAACCCAATTGTTTTGCTGGTATCTTCTAGGGAAAGAAACCTTCCATGCACACCCAGCTGGCCTATATGTAAATTTAACCCACACCAACAGAAATGCTTTAAAACTACATTTGACCAATAGTGTACAGTCTCATTGGGAGTACTGTATTGTGTAAGTTATATGAATGGAATAGCAATCCAGAGGCTTGGATTCATAATCAGATTAAGGCATCAGGTTTAAAATCTCACCAGCTATGGAGTTTGAATTTGGTTAGTTAGATAAATCTGAATAAACTGTATCAGTAATACTTACTATGGAACCACTGGATTATCATTAAAAGCCCATACAGTTCACTAACGTCCTTTGGAGATGGAAATCTGTTGACCTTATCTCAGATGGCCTAAAAGAGGCCTCAGATCTACAGCAATATCATTGACTTTTAGATGCCCTCTGATGTGGCCCAGCAAGCCACTCCGTTGTATTCAAGAAAGCAACTCAACAGTATCAGCTAAATAATTAGTTAAAATGATTTTGTCTTATAACCATTAATGTGTAGGTACACACAACAAATAAATATGGTCTGTTTTACATTCTTCCAGAGAAACCCTGGTTTCCTTCCCTATTATGTGGAGGTGCCAGTGTTGTACTGGGGTGGACAAAGTCAGATATCTCACATCACCAGGTTATAGTCCAACAGGTTTATTTGAAATTGTAAGCTTTTGGAGCTTCTTCATCAGGTGAAGTGGCAAGAAGTACACAGGCACAGAATTTATAGGCGGAGGGATAATGGAAGGATAATTCCAGGTCAATGGTGTCAATGGATAAGTACAAACAGTGTGAGTGGAGTGTCGACAGGCTGAATAACAAGTCTTTGCAAGTGATCAAAAGTGTCAAATGGTACGAGTAAAGTGTCAACAGCTGAAAACGAGTTACGGGATGACCTATGAACCAATTAATTAAGGCAGAAATTCTATTATCTATTATCACAGATTCTAAAGGCCAATGAAATACCACTGGAGACATTTGTCTCTGCTGTTCCACAACGAAAACCATCCCAGGTATTAATTATTCTCTGCTGGAAAAGTATTTTCCTGATATCAGTCCTCAACTCACTTTCTGCTTTGACTGCATGAACTTTCCTTGTCCCATTCAACATTGTCCCGGTTCATTCACTTGCCATCATGGCCAAAGTGTCCAAATGGGAGATTTTCATCTGAGCACGCAAAGGCACCAGACAGGAATGGCACATTTAAGGTGCAGTTTGCTAGCAGAGGGAGAACTGTCTCTTGGCACACTTCCAATGCAAGCCCGGGAGCTGAGACAGTAACAGATAGAGTCCCGTGGCTATACAACTAATCTAAACCATCAGACCTCACTGGCTATTGGCAAGTGCAGTAAAGGTGTGCTCAGGAGCAGTGCCGGTCTTAAAATATATCTTCAAAGATTTTTGGAACAGAGGACAATCAGTGCCAAAAAGGGTCATTTAATTCATTTTAAATCCACCTAATCTCCAGCTCATCAGATACTCGGATATCTTCATTTTTATCCTCTCCCTGCATCATGAGGTAAAAAGATTGCACAATTTTTACATAAGTATATATCAGATCATTGATTTTGTATTAAGTTCTTGTGTATTATTCTTGCCTGTTCTATACAGGGTGCTAAAAAAAGTTTTAAAAAAATACATTTTTTCCAGATTTAACAAATAGGATAGATCAAGATGGGAGCAATGAGCAAGTTCATTTTTGTAGCCCTTAGTAACTAAAGGAGCAACATACCCACACAGTTGTTATTCTCATCCAGGGTGTAGCCAAAACGACAGACCAGAGATCTCGGTGGAATAGGATACCTGGGTATTGAGGCTGGTTGGTAGACTGAAGTTTCAGAACGCCCTGTCGATGAAGATGCAGGGTATGTGGGATTAGATGGTCCATTTGCCAGGACGAGTGCAGCAGTCCTTGGCAAGCACAAGTATCCTCCATTGTGATTGATGCATCTCATGTCCCCTTTACAGGCATCCGGGATGGTTTGGCACTCATTAATATCTGCGGAAATTTAAAGAAAAAGAACAATTGATCAGTCATGTTACCTTCATCACCTTGTTTAATGATTTCCTTCCCCTTATCAGCCACTTAGCTTTATTGAGTCACTGAGTGGTTGGCACAATAAGATCTCTCTCTTCTTCTTCTCTCCCTCTTAACAGGTAAAATGATTAATGGACCAGGCCACTGCCATGGTTTGTGAGATGTTGTGATACATTGGAAGACCTTAGCAGCACCATCACACATATATGGAGGTGTTGCACTGTCAGAGTGCCACCTTTTGGTTGGAATGATAAATCACGGTCACTTTTTCAGATTCAGATGGAGGTTAAAAATTCTACGACACTATGTGGAAGAACAGTTGGCTTACGAGCTGGTCAACATTCCCCCTGCTCAAAGTATTAGCCCTGTGCTGGTTCTGTGACAGCAATTTCACCTCTCAGTCAAAAATTGATGATTCTAAATTAAAACCGAAAGAACTGCGGATGCTGTAAATCAGGAACAAAAACAAAGTTGCTGGAAAAGCTTCAGCATCGTTAGCAACTCCTTTGTGTGTCCAAGTGTCTTTCTCTCTCTTTGGGCTCTATCCTGTCATTTATTCCCTACCCCACCCACCTCCCTATTTTCTGCATATAAACTGACATTTCCCCAGCCACTATCAGTTCTGAGGAAGGGTCACCGGACCCGAAACGTTAACTCTGTTTTCTCCTTCACAGATGCTGCCAGACCTGCTGAGCTTTTCCAGCAACTTTGTTTTTGTCACTAAAACAGAATATCTGTTTATAAATCTTATTTCCCATTGTGGAGTGTTACTCTACTTGTCTATTTTACAGTGCTAACTACACTTCGAATGTACTTCATTGGTTGCAAAAAACTTTGGGGCATCTTAAGATCATGAAATCACAGAATCATAGAATCTCTACAGTGTGGAAAGGGGCCATTCAGTCCATCAGACCTGCACTGACCCTCCAAAGAGCATCCCACCCGGTCCTGGCACCCCCTTAACCATATCTCCATGACCCCGCATTTACCATGACTCACCAACCTAGATACTACAGGGCAACTTTATTGTGGCCAATCCACCTAACCTGCACATCTTTGGACAGCGAGAGGAAACCGGAGCACCCGGAGGAAAATCATGCAGACGAGGGAAGAATGTGCAAACTCCAGACAGACACCCAATGGCATTATAATATCTTTCAACCAATAAATCCAAGGAAAAATGATCGATCATTCACCCCATTGATTGGATCTTTGCCCAAAGTGATAGCTTAAAAGAAAACAACAATCACTTTGCATCAATATAATTCAACATGTGAGAGGAATGTTCACAATATGTCATAAGACATATAGCCTAGAAGTCTCACCTCTGCATTGTCCAGTTGAACGGTCCAAACGATATCCATCAGAACACTGCTGGAAATAAACACCACAAAACAATTCTTTTAGAACAAAAGAGCAAAAGAGAAGTACAGCACAGGAACAGGCCCTTCGGCCTTCCAAGCATGTGCTGATCATCATGCCCTGACTAAACTAAAAAAAAACAAACCTTCTGCCCTTTTTCGGTCCGTATCCCTCTATTGCCTCCCCATTCATGTAACAATCCAGACCAATCCCCTTGTAATTGAAACTTCAACCCTGGGAAAAAGCCTCCGACTATCCACCCTATCTATGCCTGTCATAATTTTGTAGACCTCTATCAGGTCTCCTCTCAGCCCTTCCAGTGAAAACAATCCTATTTATTTCATGTCATTCATTTAAAACATGCATCAAAATAAGCAGTGGATATTCATTTGCTGATTGTTGCATTCACCAGCCAACTTTTATTCAAGTCATCCTCTTTACTCCCAAGTCCCCATAAATTATTACTAAAACTCTGATGCAGATTTGCATTTAGGGGTTTAATTTCATCTGTGGTAATTTTTCATTTTTAAAAGAATTGTGCGTCCTCCTTGATGCAAAAACATGGTCCTTCAGGATTTCAATAACTATTATCAGCATCTTAGCAAGTCCACTTACTGCATACAGCTAATAAAATGGAAATACAAACAGGAGAACAAAAATGCATAATAGTTGGGACATTCAGGGATTTTCCCTATGGGCAGAGCTGAAGCAGTGCTCCCCTCAATAAAAAGCACAATGCTTCTCATTTGTCAATATTTCTCCTTCACAACTCTAACAGACACCAATTAAATCTTAAAGGTAGAAGTTACTACATGTGTTGATCACAAATGAACATTTAGTACCTGAACTATGTTATGTATAGACTATTTTCTAGGCATCCATGAACCCATTTCTTGCAAATGGGGAGGGCATTTGTTAAATGCATGTGCACCAGTGTGCGTGAGTAAGGTTAATTCCAGCATTTATAAATCCTACACTTCAGTGTTGCTTTTCAATCCAATTGAGCAATTGTCTGTTGATTGTGTACGGATATTCTGATGGCCCTTTAATGAGCCTTACAAAGATTAGATATTTCTATATAATTGCAATTCATTTCCCTTTTGTAAGAGAGTAGTACTTTCCAGTCTTGATCTGCTTGCCTACTTTTGAGTATGGGAGATTGGCAAGCTTGGTGGAGACAAGCTTGTGAAAGGATCAATAAATGAGGATCAAGTTGAAAGTAACATTGTTATAAATGACACCAAAACTCAAATCAGTATCACCTTGTAAATTCATACCATTCTGGAAGTTACACATTAAGTTGAAAAGTTGTCCGTGGTGTGTTCAGCTTGGAAAACTATTGAGCAGTTTCCAGAATATACAAATAGACATTTGTAAGGAAGAACAGGAAGACAAACTCTCTCTCTCTGCCTGTCTCTCTCGTCAAACTAAAAAAGTCAATGTCTGATGAAAGAACAACCTTGATGCAACAACCGTTTAGAATAGAATCCCTACACTGTGGAAACAGGCCATTGGGCCCAACAAGTCCACACCGATCATCTGAAGAGCATCCCACCCAGACTCACCCCATCCCCATAATCCTGCATTTCCCGGGGCTAATCCACCTTTCCTACACATCACTGGACACTATGGGCAACTTAGCATGGTCAACCCACGTAACCTGCACACCTTTGGACTGTGGGACAAAACTGGAGCAAACCCAAGCAGACTTGGGGAGAATGTGCAAGCTCCACACAGTCACCCAAGGCTGAAATTGAACCTTGGTTCCCAGTGCTGTGAGGCAGCAGTGCTAACCACTGAGCCACCATGCCACTCCAAAGCAATCAAGGATATCGGCAAACCTCGTCGCTACTCAAGAAACAGGGCAACAGCTGCAGAGTTGGAATTCAACTTTCAATCTTATGACTGTAGGACTCTATAAACATTAGGTTTCAATTGCCTCTTCCGCACTGTCTGTACTTGACTCCCCTCCCCCATCGCTTCTAAGCTTTCTACCTGTAATGTATATTTTTGTGCCTGATGTCACATTTGCTTATACTTCTTGGGTTTAATAGATCATCAAACACCATTCACTTTCCTTCAAGAAAACTTTAGAATTGGGCCTGCTTTATTTGTGATCTAGTTAGCAAAGTTTAATTGAAGTGTGAAAGCTACTTAAAAAAAATTAAAAATATTTGTTGCTGCCAATTGAATGGGGTCTTAAAAGAAAGGAGCATATCTCTCTTCCTCGCCTAGTTCTAACACCTCAATCATGCACTCACCCCCGCACCCCCGTCCCCCCAACCGCTTCAGCCTACCACCTCTGTTCTGACCACTAGCATCGATCATATCTCTGACCACATCACTCTTCCCATCTCTGACCACAGCCATACCTAACATACCAGTTCTTAAAGTGACCATGAATGCCATTGCCCACTTCCAAACTTGTATTCTTTCAAACATTGACATATTTTGGTTTGACTCAGGTCAATTACATTGGACCTCATATCAATAGGACAAGGTCACCCCTTCATTCTTTTTCCCTTGGTTAAGAATCTGTGGTAATTACCGTAAATGATACAGCTGAATCAATCTCCTGAGCCCATCCAACTCTGATCAGCAGCACCATCAGTAGCAGTATGGTCAACATCCTGCAACCAAGAAAGGAAAGGTGAACAATAGACAGTGAATAATGATTCCACCATTCATTCCTTCCTACCATACACATATTTACACAAACAACCCACCAACAAAACAAACACTGCTTTCAATAGACTCCAAAATCAAAAATGCTAGGTATCACATGGAATCAAAATTTTATAAGATTTAGAGAATAGGTTCAGATACATAACTGCTTAGTGTATGAATACTGAAGACCATTTTCTGTTCTGATGTTCCAGTTTCCAAGCTTAGGACAATAAAGTAGTATATTTATGCAGTTCCATTCACTTTATGACCTAATGTATTTTGTTGGGAGGTTGGTTAGCTCAGTTGACTGGGCTGCTGACTTGTAATGCAGTGTGATACTAACAGTCTGAGTTCAATTCTCACACTAACTGAAGCCACCATGAACGTAACATCTTCACAACCTCACCCTTCAAGTGAAGGATGGTGACCCTCAGGTTAAACTACCATCATTCACCTCCCTCTAAAAAAAAGCAGACATATGCTCCTCTGTGACAAAGGTTACCTTGCCTTGAAATACATTTTCAAACCCTGAACCACTTTAGTACCACAGGTGATGAGCAATGACTATCGTGAAAAAGAGAAAATTTAATCAGCTACCTATGACATTCAACAGCATTACCACTGCTTAATCTCCCATAATTGACATCCTGGGGGTTACCTTTGACCAGACACTTAACCGGACCAGCCATACGCATACTATATTTACGAAGGGCCTGTACTGTGCTGTACTGTTCTATGTTCTAAGACCAGGTCAGAGGCTGGGAATTCTGCAGCATGTAGCTCATTTCTTGATTCCTGAAAGTCTATTCATCTTCGACAGACATAAGCGTGATGGAATACTCCCCACTTACCTGCTCATCTACAACTCCAACAACACTCACTGACATCCAGGACAAAACAGCCTTCTTGATTGGCATCCCATTCGCTACCTTAAACATCCCATTCAGTAACAGTAACATCTGTGAGGAAGCAGCTCAGAGCGGGAGACTACAAAGGGGCACCAATGCTCAAAGATTACAACACTTAACTTGGGACTGGGTAGCTGAGAGGTATATAAATCATCTTCTCATAACCAGCCCACATTGAATTTGAAAGGAAAGTGAAAAGAAAAATAAGCAGTGACAAACAGTAAAGTCACTAGTGTGTAAGAAACTGACCGGTTTCTATCCTGAAGTTTAAATTGCTGTAAATTAGAAAAGTATATTATTTTTGAAGAACTGACTTTACTTGAAATATAAAAATGCAAAAATGTGAGCTCTACGTTTCAGAACTCAATCAGCAGTTACTGAGGCATGAGATGGAGCAGTTCATTGGTAGCCCAGTCAGAGAGGTTGTCACACCTCAGAAATGGAATAGATGACTTCCGGGCAATCCAAGAAACAAAGGCAGTTAGTGCAGGAGTCGCCTTGGGTCCCAAACATAAATTGGTTTTCCATTTTGAAATCTGGTTATGACAGTTATTCCTCAAGGGAGTGTAGTCAGAGCCAAGTTTGTGGCATCCTGACCAGCTTGGCTATATAGGAAAGGGGTGGGAAAGAAGAAAGAAGAAAGAAGGAGACATAGTGATGGGGGATTGATTAGTTCTAGCATCTCTGTGGAAGTAGACGTGACTCCTGGATGGTATATTGCCTCTCTGGTGTCACAGTAAAGGACGTCACATGGCAGCTGCAGGACATTCTCCCCTAGGAGGATAAACAGCCAGACATGTAGTCCACATCCGTGCCAATGGCTTAAGGAGGAAAGGGGGAATGATCCTGCAATCAGAAAATTTATAAGTAGGATCATAACCCGAGTAGTCTCTGGATTTCTCCCAGTGCCACATGCAAGTGAGTACACACATAAGAGGATAAGACAGATGAGTGTGTGGCTGGAAAGGAGATTCAGGAGGAAGGGCTTTAGATTCCTGGGACAATGGGACTGGGTTCGGCACTAGGCAAGATGGTACCTATACAGATGACTGGGTTGTACCTGAATAGAGCTGGGACTGAGTTCCTTATGGGGTGTTTTGCCAGTGCTATTGAGTGGGTTTTAAATCGACTTGGCAGGGGTGTGAGAACCAAGAGAGAATACTAGAGAGGAATACCATGATGCTCAGAATACTTAGAGAGACTAGTATAGAAAATAAAAAGTCAAGAGGTGAAGTCCGAATAAAGGAGATAATATGGAAGTCTATATTAAGATAACTCTGCATGTATACAAATGCACAGACTATAGTAAATAAGGCTGTGAAGCTACAGGCACAGATTTCCATGTGAAAATATGATGCTGTGGTGATAACAGGTACGTGGCTCAAGGAGAGGCAACACTCAGTGTTAAATATTCCTGGGTACAAAGTGTTCAGGAAGATAGGAAAGGATGGAAAGGAGGAGAGGTGTCGCTGTTGGTTAATGAGAGCATTGCAGTGCTGGAGAAAAAGGATGTCCCAGAGAGTTCAAGGACAGAATCAAATTGACAAGAGTCAAGGAACAATTACATTGTTCAATCTAGTCTACAGACCACTGACAATGGGAAGGATGCAGAACAAAACTGCAGGGGGTTGTAAATATCATAGGCTAGTCATAATGGGGGACTTTAACTACCTGAATGTAGACTGAGACATTGGGCATTGGGGTGGAGCAGGGCAAGTGTTTCCAGATTGCATGCAGGAAACTTTTCCACAGTAATATATACCTTCTATAAAAAGGAACAATACCCTCTTTGACCTGGTTCTTGGAAATGGGGTGGGCCAAGTGGATCAAGTGTTAGTCGGCAATGCTGAGGAGACAGTGATCATTGCATCATATAGTTTAGGATGAGGATAGAAAAAGCCAGCAGGCAATCTTGAGCAAGAATAATTAACTTGGGAATGACAATTTCAATGAGGCAGAAATGAGCTGGGCAAGCAGACCAGAACAAAATGCTGGTGGGAAAAGCTGTAGCTGAACAATTGGTTACCTTCAAAGAAGAAATGGTACAGATACAGCCAAAATTCTCTCAAAACAAAAAGGGAATGCAAACAAATCCAGAACTCTCTGGGTTAAAAAGGAAATAGAAAGTAAAATGAAGAAGGTGTGCTTATGACAGGTATTAGGTAAAAAAAAACACAATTGAGAACCAAGACGAATCCTGAAACCTTCCGAGGGAAGGGGAGAAAGCATATTAGAGAAGAAAAGAGGGTTTATGAAAGAGACTGGCTGCCAGACTAAAGGTGAATCCCAAAGTCGTCCATAGGCACATCATGTAGTAAAAGAGTGGCAAACGGAGCAGTAGGATCAAGTAGGGGCCAAAAAGAATTTATGTACAGAGGCAAGAGGCGTGGATGAGGTGTTAAATGAATACTTTGCATTTGTCTTGACTAAGGAGGTAGATGTTACCACTCTATGGTGACAGAGGAGAAAATTCTGTCACTAGAAGGATTTAAAAATTATAGGGAGAAAGCATTGGATATAATGTGGTGCTTAAAGTTAATAGGAACAGGGATTGGTTAAGATGCAATGAAGAACAATGAAGGAAATGAGATTATAAATTGCAGTACCATTAGGCATACTCTTTCAGACTTCCCTAAACTCGGAAGAACTGCCAGAAGACTGAAGAATAGCAGACATTGCATCCTTGTTCAAAACGTTTGTAAGGATAAGCCCAGCAATTATAGATCAGTCAGTTCAGACATTGGGAAGCTTCTAGAAACATTTTTTTCAATATAGAATTAGTAAGGATAGGGAAAGTAGGATAGTAGACATTTGATACAATGTGTCCCATCAGACTTGTGGGAAAAGTTATTGCTCATGGAATGAAAGGGATAGTAGCAACATGGATACAATATTGGCTGAGTGGTAGGAAACAGAGTAAAAGACAATGGGTTATTTTTCAGGCTGAAGGAGGGTTTGTGGTGGAGTTCCTAGTGGGTCAGTATTTGGACCCTTACCTTTCCAGATATATACATATGATCTAGCTCATGGCCTGCAGGGAACAATTTCAAAGTTTGCTGATGACATGAACTGGAAAACATTGTAAACTGTACAAGACACAAGTTGGTGGACTGGTCAGTTCATGGCAGATTAAGTTTAATGTGGAGAAGCCTGAGATGATGCATTTTAGTTGGAGGATCATTCAAAGACATTATAAAATATGAGGTACAATACTTAAGGGGGTGCAGCAGCAGGAGGACCTGGGTGAATATGTGCATAGATCGTTGAAGACATTAGGACAGGTAGAAACAGCAGTGAATAAAGCATGCCGTATCCTGGGCTTTATTAGCAGGAGCATAGGCATACATGAGCAAGGGACTTATGTTAAACTTGTCCAAGATACTTGTTAGACCTCAGCTGAAATATTGAGTTCAGTTGTGGGCACCACATTGTGGGAAAGATGTGAATACATGACAGAAGCTGCAGAAGAAATTTACAAGAATGATTCCAGTGATGAGAAACTTCATTCATGAGGATAGGTTGGAGAGGTTGGAAATGATCACCTTGGAAAGAAGAAGGATAAGTGGAGATCTGATAGATGTTTTCAAACCATCAAAGAAACTGTTTTTGCTCATGAAAGGATTGTGAATGAGGGGGCACAGATTTAAAGTTATTTATAAATATACCAATTATGGTGCGAGAAAACATTTCTTCACGCAGGTGGTTTGGGAATGGAATGCACTGCCTGGATGTGTGATGGAGGCAGATTCAATTGAGGAATTCCAGAGGTCATTAGATGAGTTGTTGAATAGAAACAATATGCAAGGGAACAGGGAAAAGACACGAGAGTGGCATTATGTCATAAAGCTCATTGTGAGAATGGTGCAGACATAATGCCCGAAATTGTCTCCTTCTGGGTCCTAAAACCTCTGTGATTCTGTGATTTTTGTTGGCACCTTCCAAACCTGAACCTAGAAGAAAAAGGACAGAAATGCTTTGGAACATACCACCTCCAAGTACCCCTCTAAGCCACTCTCCATCCTGTGTTGGAAATATATCGCAGTTCCTTCATAGTCGCTAGCTTAAAATCCTGGAACTTCCTCCTTAACTGCATTGTGGGGGTACTACACCACATAGACTGTAACGGTTCAGGAAGATGACTTAGCACCTGCTTCTGAAGGACAATTAGGGACAGGCAATAAATTTATCAATGATGCTCACACCTAATGAATGACCAAAAGGAGACAGTAACCAGAAGCTTAGTCAAAGGTTGGTTTTAAAGGAAGACAGAGAGAAAGAGAGAGAGAGAGGTTCAAGGACAGAATTCCAAAGGAATGCCATTCAGTCCATCATCACTTGTATGCCCAGAATAGAGGTGGGATTCTAAAGGTCACCATGATTTTCCCCGTTGTCCTAGCCCAGGGATGAAAACCACCTCTACATTTTTAACTGCACTGCTAGAGTCCTATACCCTACTGAATTTCAAAGAAAATTCCAAAACATTCACCCAAATTGAAACCAAAACACATATACATGATATATTTGTCTGACAAGCTAAATCACCAACAGGTAAAATATCACTTTAAGGCCGAGCATCAGCATGAGCCAGTCAAGGATTTTAGCATGAATTCAACTTCAGCCAGATAGATAGACTCCTAAGATGCGTGATGCATTGAGCTAGCTACAGGAGAAGGCATAGTTCATTGCTATAAAAAGAATTTGTAGCAAGCAAGTTTATTTGATAGTATCTCATTTAGGATTGCCTAATGAATAGGTAATTATATAAATGGATTTGAATGTTAAGGTATTTATCAGCATGAGGCAGCAATATGTAACAAACAGCTGCAAGTGGTTAGTCACAGTAATTTATTCTTAAATGTTTCCTGGGATAATTTAATAAAAATTCTGAAAAAGTTTTCTCTCCCATAGAAACTGACACGGATGTAAATAAACATGTGAGCAATTCCACTTGGCCACTGCAAACACAATTTTGGGATTTAGATTTTGTTTTTGTTGAATCAATGTTATCTGACTAGCATGCAATCAGCTCAGTTCATCTCCTTCCTAGTGAGGGAGGGCTGCACTCCAAACAAGGTCAATATATCCTTCCTGTGGTTTTGCGGCCACAGTCGAAGGCAGTTCTACTATTGGGATTTGGCCAAGCAGCACACATCTGAAGTATAACTTCCTCCCTTCTTCCACACTTCTCCCACCCACACCCATCTTCACTTTCAAGATAAAGATCAATATTCCATTGGCCTTTTTGATTTAGTTTTGGGTCTGGGAGCAAGGAAAGGACAAAATAAGAAAGGCCAGTGCTAGTGGTTAGATAGGGTTTTTAATGCCATTCTGATGTACCTGCATGGTTCCAGGGACACGGGAATTCAGCTACAAGATTAAAATGGAGAAACTGGGGTTAGAGTGAAGGAGATTGGGGGATGATTACATTGATCATATAACATTTTGAGAGATTTAATTAAGGTCGATATAAAAAATTCCATTAGCTGATGGTACAGTGATTAGAGAATGTAGATTTAAAATGTTACAAAGAATTGCTTTTTAACACAATGAATGACCTAGAGCTTGTTATCTATTAGGGTGGTGGAAGTGGCCACAATGAACGATTTCAAAAGGTAATTGGATGGACACTTGAGGGAAATAAGCTCGTAGGGCTACGGGGATAAAATCCCTACAGTGTAGAAACAGGCCCTTCAGCTCAACAAGTCCACATTGATCCTCAGAGCATCCCACCCAGACCCATCTCCTTATAACCAACCTAATCTACACATCACTGAACACTACAGGCAATTTAGCATGGCCAATCCACCTAACCTGCACATCTTTGGACTCTGGGAGGAAACCAGAGCATCTAGAGGAAACCCACACAGATGCAGGGAGAATGTGCAAACTCCAAACAGACAGTTGCCCGAGGGTGGAATTGAAGCCAGGTCTCTGGCACTGTGAGGCAACAGTGCTAACCACTGAGCCACCATGCATTGAGTGAGTGTACTAAATGAATTGTTCTATGGTGAGCCAGCATAGACTAGATGGGTTCTATGCTGTAGTTATTTTGTAATGTTTCATGGTAATCATTACCAATCCTAAGGTCATGCATTATAGTCAAATATTTGGGCACATGTATACAATGGTGACTGACTCACCATTGTCACCACTAAGAAAGCTTACTGAATCAAGCTTCGATCAACTTGTTGGGAGCTCAGACAGGAGGCTGGCAGAACACAGCAAGCCAGGCAGCAATCTGGGGGAAAGGAGAAGTCGACATTTTGGGTATTACCCTTCTTCAGGACTTATTAGGGACTGACTGGTGAAATATTTGGCCATTGTTGAACTAGTTTAGACTATATTCTTCACTGAGGGGGATTACCAAATCAGATATGCCTACATCTGTTGGTGGCGCACCCCCACTAATATCTGGACAACACTCAGCGAGTTCACTTCAGGCATAAGAGAGGGAAATATATGTGACTCAAAGAAGAAGAAAAAAATTATTTTCAAAGTTACCACTTTGTGTATTACAATCTATTATTTTACAGCAGATATTGTTAAGTTATGCTGCCATTCGAACCCCTTCCGGCCCCACATTTCACAAACTTCTGCCCCCTCACTATCACAACAACTAAATCTTCCTGTTTCTCGGTATTACTGAGGCACCAGTGAAAGACAATCTGTTAAAGTACATTTTAACAGCTTTGAGTTGTCAGCTCTAACTCATAGTTGGTATTTCTCTTGCATACCCTTACCTCACCTCAGTCAGAAGGTCTTGGATTCTGAGCACAAAATGTAGGCTAAAACCTTAAGGCGGTACTAGAGGAGTGTTGCACTGTCAGGGTGTGCCACACACTAATTGGGATGTTAAACAGAATCCCATCCTGCTCTCTCTCTCTCTTAGGTGAATATTAAAGTCTCAGTGCGCTATTTCAAAGATGAGCAGGGGAGCTGTCTCTGGTATCTAAGCCAATATTTATCTCTCAACTTATCTTCACTAAAACACGTTATCTGTTGATACTCATTGGTGTTTGTGGGATTGTGTTATGCTGAAATTTGGTTGTGGTATTTCTTACTTCACAACAATGGTGGCTCAGAGGTTAGCACTGCTGCCTCACAGCTCCAGGGACCTGGATTTGATTCCAGCCTCAGGTGACTGTCTGTGTGGAGTTTGCACATTCTCCCCATGTCTGCCTGGGTTTCCTACCACAGTCCAAAGATGTGTAGGTTAGGTGAATTGGCCATGCTAAATTGCCCATAGTATTGGCCATGGGAAATGCAGAGTTATCATAGAATCATAGAATCCCTACAGTGTGGAAACAGGCCCTTCAGCCCAACAAGTCCACACCGAACCTCAGAGAATCCCACCCAGACCCATTCCCCTGTAACCGACCTATTCTACACATCCCTGAACACTATGGGCAATTTAGCATGGCCAATCCACCTAATCTGCACATCTTTGGACTGTGGGAGGAAACTGAAGCACCCAAAGGAAACCCACGCAGACACGGGGAGAATGTGCAAACTCCACACAGTTGCCTGAATCGAACCCAGGTTGCTGGCACTGTGAGGCAGCAGTGCTAACCACTGAGCCACCGTGCCGCCCCAAAAAGGACCCAAACTCCTCCCTGGTGGGGAACTGAACCACAGTCTCCCACGTGACAGGCAGGGATACTAACCACTACTCTACCATAGGGGTTATAGGGAGGGGTGGGTCTGGATGGGATGCTCTTTGGATTTGATGGGCCAAATGGCCTGCTTCCACAATGTAGGGATTCTGTAAACAATGGCTGCAATTAACTGGCTTTCATTAACTGGCTTTCACAACCAAATTTCAGTAAAACATGACAGGGGCTGCATAAACTGAAGCCTTTCTTTCTAAAAACATTTTTTATTAGAATATATTGAACCAAGTTTATTTGGATGTACTCAACCTTCACCTTAGCTTGTAGCAAGAAATTCCAGCAAAGATAATGGATACCGGGGAACAGTTGAATTTCTGTTTGACACAATTCTTGTCTCCAGCCACCGTTAGATGTCAGGCCTCTCATAAAATGGATCTATTCATTAGATGCACAGGCCTACAAAGGAAGTTAAAACATTGAAAACAAAATCCACACTTAACTATTCCAATGTGCTCCTGGCAAGCAACATGTGCTGCACTTACTGTACCCTATCCTACAGCACATCCCTCTCACACACATCACGACAATGTCGCCGGGTTCTTAAATGACTCCAATCTATCCTCATACTCAAAGCCTTTTATATGTGTGCACCACCTCTGCCAACTCCACCCTCTCTGTGTCTCTGCAATTTCCTCCAGCTCTACAACTCTGTACTACTTCAAATCTGGCTTCCTACATTACCATTATTCCACTGATCATTGGCAACCATGATTTCAGATGTTCATATCCTCACTGACCTCCTCTTCCTCTTCCTTTAACACTTTCATAGAATCACACATCAGTTAGATTGATCACCCGTTTTTAATGGTTCAGTTCTCTATCTTCTATCTGTTTCGGGCTCTTTGAAGCACACTGGGACATTGTTCTACATTCCAGGCACTCCATCGATGGATATTCCTTAAAATGTGATCCCAGGTAAATCAGATGAACTTTGATGTACTTCTCAAGTTATTGACAAACCTGTGCCCACTATGTCACTGCCAGTACTAATGGATTAGCCTGGCAATCCTAACCCTAATTTACACAGTATTATTGACTACTCTTAACCTGAAACAAAACTGTTTTGAAGTGGGGACGGAATTTATTTTTATACCACTCTGCTGCCACTTTAAAAGCTAGCAAATCACAGAGTTAAGTTACAAAAATAGTCATTTAGAAACCTGGAGTTGGTAAACATTCGTTTAACTAGACATGCAGTGGAATTTTTTTCATGGCTCATTAAATCCAGAGATAGTGCCAAATAACATGAAAATAACTAATGTTCCAATCTTTAAGAACGGCCAGAAACGTGAACCTGGAAATTGTACAAATGGGCTAGTTCAAGAAGGAAAGATAGAATTATAATGATAATTTAAAAAGAATAAAGTTTTCCAAACTTACACCAGATTTAAGAAAGACATGTCAAACTGCACTAATTCATTGCAATGATTTCATTGTCATAGAAATGACGACCTGGTGGCTGAGTTCTCAGAGGGTCACTAAAAGGAGCAGTTCTCAATGATGGATCACTCCCTCTTATGGGCAAGCAATTGATTTCCAAGGCTGGTCATATCCCACAGAGTTTTCAATGATTGGATTTTATAGAGTTCCTAAGTGGTTCTGGAAAAAACCTTGAATTATTTCATCACAGCTTCCTGGATTGAAGCAAAAAGCACTAAGATAAGTTATAGCTATGGAGAATTAACATACTATTTGTTTGTTAACAATGCGTAATCAAATATAACATTAGTTCAGAACAGAAAGCGTTGGGGTAAAAAAAGCAACAAGTCTGACAATATTAGTGGAGAGAGAAACAGAGTTAACATTTTAAGTTCAATGTGACTTCTTCAAGAACTGATCCTGAGACTGTGTTCTGCAGAACAATCGTCAAGATATTTACTCCAACTTTCTCACATAATCTGCTGGGTCTGCTGCATTTTCGAACACTGATTATTTTTCAGATTTCCAGCATCCGTACTTTTTTTTTAAAAGTGATGCTTGTTTTACATCAAGATCGAGTTAAAAACAATCTTTGCAAGTAATTTAATTTTTCAAAATGCATCAAATGCAATGTTCAGAGTATCTAATAACCCTGTGGTCATTAAGATTAAAATGTTATAAGATGGAATGACTGAGAGTTTGACTTAGATTAATCAATCAATTAAGCTTTTCATGTGCTGCCCATCAATATTCAATTAAATATATTGCTTTATAGAGTAAATTACACTTAAAATTTTCTGGGGTAATGAATTGTGTTCACCTGGATAATGAGGTATTTTCAGACATCTAGTACAAGTTCATAGATTATACTTACCTGATAACTTCTTTCAAGTGTTTTGTATTTCAAAAGTAGAATCAAAAATCCAGAGGTCTGATGTTCGGCAAAATTGCTTGTATTTCCCTTTTTTCTCTGATAAGCTCCTTTGAGATGTATGCAGCTGCTGGATTTGAATTTGCGAAAAGCTGATGGCCCTTTCCACACGCTTTGCCCCTTTATCTTGGAGATACTGGCCCCGAAGTGATCAGCACCTAGTTTTGTTCAAACTCCCTTCTAATTCAATGTTAAGCCAATTGGACAAGGAATGCTAAAAATGAACACTTCACTCTCAAAGTACGTTTAGACATGCAAATGGAGTCTCTGTGTCGCTGACAGCTGGTTTATATTACACAGCACCAACTGGCGTGAGTTCCCACAACCAGCTTGTGGATCTTGGCAGTTTAGAGCTTCGTTCTTAGTCTTCCTGGAAAGTTTGAGACCTTCAGTATGTTTAAACTGAAGAGCCTGATAAGTCTCTGCTTTTATATGTTAGCTCATGGGATCTGAATTTGTTTTAAATTAAAATTAACTGAAAATGGTTTATGGAAACATGCCAACACACTCTGTTTTTGCTGTGAAACCACTACCAATTTAAACAGGATATTTGGAACAATTGCACCATGTTTTTTTTTCTCTAAATGCATGGAAGTCTGGGGGACTGTAAGTGCAGCTTTTATAGGCCATGGGTGCGGAAGTGGTGAAGAATGTTAATGGCTACACATTGCATTGTAGAAAGAGATGCCAGGAGCTCAGACAGCACCATTGTAGCTTTTCATCTTTACAATGAAGTAAGACTCAAATAGTCTCGACTTTAGGCCTCACAAACCTGAGGGGTTTTGGATTTGGAGAATTAGGAAGCGCAGGACCCTGTCGAAAATCAATGTCACTGCTGGGGAAGTTTATTTAATCTACCTCTCACATCCATTACAGTAGGACATGGTTAACAAGGTGTCATTCATATCTTGTGTTAATCATTCCACAACTAAACTTTATCAGCTGAGAAATTGCTGTTTGCAATGTTAACCTGAACTTCCTCACTTCATCCATGGGGTGACTGTATAGAGGTTTATAAAATCATGAGGGGATTGGTATAGCCAAGCTCTTTTCACTAGTGTGGGGCAGTCCAAAACTAGAGGGCATAGGTTTAAAGTAAGAGGGGAAAGATTTAGAAAGGACCTGAGGAGTAACTTTTTTAATGCAGTGGGTGTAACAGTTACAACATTTAAAAGGCATATGGATAGGTATATGAATAGGAAGAGATATGGGGCCTAAATGCTGGCAAATGGGACTAGGTCAGATTGGGATGTCTGGTCAACATGGACGAGCTGGACTGAAGGGTCTGTTTCTGTCTTGGATAACTCCATGACTCTATAACTACCTGCTAATTTCATTGTGGTGATAACTGAACAGGTTGGTAAAATTGGAGAGGGGGCAGTCAGATAAACATTGGATTTTCCAGTACAAATAACAATGGGTACCACTCGCTGTTATTCAAGTATAATCCAAGCAGAACATGCAAGAAAAAATTAAAGTTGGAAAATCCTCCATAGTCTGTGCTATCCTACACTGTTGAAACACATAGAAAGGTGAAATAACTGCACAGAGGCCAGTATCCCATCACCAAGTCACCCCTTGTTTATTTGTGCACAGTACACTGCCTGTAGCCAGCCAGCTCGGAGTCAGTCCCCTGAACTGAGGAGATTCTAAATCTTCTGCTTATTATTGGTCAGCCAGTGCCTCCTGATTGGCCCAGGTTAACAACCAGAATCAAAGACCTCATAGTCAAGAGGTCCATCTGGTTCCAATCACAACATTCCTCCCTCCCTAAGTATGAGGATATAGGCCTGGTCTTTCCTGCGATGATTTCACCCCAGGTCCAGTTCCTCTGATTCAGACTCTGACACAGGCAACGTGTACCAGACCATAGCCCGTTTCTTGCATCCAGACCACCTCAAGAGAGTTTCTTCCTCTTCTTCCAGCGGTAACGGCATTGAGACTGCATCTCAGATTCCAAAGTTTTCTCTGCTAGACAGAGGGGGAGAACCTACGGTTTCTGACAGGTTTTCTGGCTGTTCTGAGGGGCCAGAAGTGTTTTTCTCCTGCCCTGTTTACAAGGTAACAGTTTTCAGGTAATCCACACATTTGTTCAGGACTGTCTCACCAAACTTTGTAAGCCACAGGACCTGACCTCGCATCAACCTCACCTTGTACCCAAACAGGGCCATTTCCATGGTTCAGGCACCAAATTTCATCCCTGAATTAAAAATCCCTCGCTTAGAGGAGGCATTAGGCCAGCATTGGCATTCCTGCTGCCATTTCACCCTCCCCCCAAGTCTGGGAATATCAAGTTTAGCCTAGTGCGGAGCCTTCTCCCCATTAGCAACTCTGCTGGGGTTATCCCTATTGCTGCATGAGTGATGGTCCTATAATCGAACAGGAACCAGGACAGTTTGGTATCAAGTGATGCTTTAGGCTGCTTCTTCAAGCCTGCCTTCAATGTTTGGACCATTCTTTCCACCATTGGATGATGGATGGTATGGACCTGTCCTTATGTGCCAAATGCCATTAGACTTCAGGAAGTACTCAAATTTCCTGCTGGCAAATGATGTTCCATTGTCTGTAACCAACACTTCTCGGAGTCCATGTATCTCAAACAATGCTCGCAGCTTCTCAATTCTCATCCCCAAGTTTGCCAAACAGCCTTTATACATGTCCAACCACTTTGAATGGGCATCCACAATGACCGAGAACATTGAACCCATGAAAGGACCAGCATGGTCAACATGTAACCAGGTTTAGGGTTTACCCGCCCATTCCCACAAATGTGGAGCTACTGCCGATGATAAATTTTTGTCCTTGTTGGTTCTCTGTGCACTGCCCCACCAATGCAGCTATGTCAGCATCCAATTCTGGCCACCAGACATAACTTCTTGCTAGCATCTTCATCTTGGAAAACCGTGGATGACCCAGGTGGAGTTCAGCCAGCATCTGGCAGTGACCTTTACTCAGAACAACTATCCTTCTCTCCAAAGTAATATGCAATCCTCTACGGTGATCTGGTCTCTCCAGGTCCAGAAAGGTTTCATTCCTTGTTGCGATGGCCCTGGTGTCTCACCCATTACCACCAGCTGTTTTAGTTTTGTGAGAACCAGATCTGTTTGTGCCCGCAGTCAGATACCGTCAGCAGTTACCGGAAGGGTTTCCAGGAAGTTTAAAACCAAAACGGACTCTTTCAGAGGAAGTGCCACCAGCGGAGTATCTGCCAGTAGCAGGCGGCTCAAGGCATCTGCATTAGCCACTTGACTTCTTGGACAATGTTCTAACTTATACTTGTATGCGCTGAGAATAAGGGCCCAACACTGAATTCCTCCAGAAGCTATGGACAGCACCACCTTGTCTTCCTTCAGTAGCCCTAGCAGGGGTTTGTGATCTGTTACTGTGACATGTTCCTGTCCATAAAGGTCCTTATAGACTCATAGAATCCCTACAGTGTGGAAACAGACCCTTCGGCCCAACAAGTCCACACTGACCTTCAGAGTACCCACCCGAGCCCATCCCCCTATAACCCACCTAATCTACACATCCCTGAACACTACAGGCAATTTAGCATGACCAATCTACCTAGCCTGTACATCTTTGGACTGTGGGAGGAAATCACACCACCCGGAGGAAACCCATGCAGACACAGGGAGAATGTGCAAACTCCACACAGACAGTCACCCGAGGGTGCAATCGAACCCGGGTTCCTGGCGCTGTGAGGCAGCAGTGCTAACCACTGAGCCACCATGCTGTACTGGTGGAACTTTCTCACAGCAAAGATGATTGCCAAACCTTTCTTCTCTATCTGGGTATGTTTGCATTTAGCATCAGCCCAAGTCCAGGAAGCATATGCTATTGGGCATTCCTTTCCTTTGGGCCACTAGTGAGCCAACATTACCCCGATACTGTACGGGGAGGCATCACATGTCAGCACTACCACTCACTTCAGATCGTAGTGGGCCAACACCTTAGATAATGATAACAAGGTGTAGAGCTGGATGAACACAGCAGGCCAAGCAGCATCAGAGGAGCAGGAAAGCTGGCGTTTCGGGTCTGGACCCTT